CTGGAAAGCTGGGAGGGTAGGGGCCCGCCTCACCTCTGGGCGGGGGGGGGGAGAATATTTCATAGGGCAGGGGCAACAGTTACCAATGCGAAGACTGCAAAACAGGTGCTTTATGACTGTGCTTCATTTTCCACCAATTGCATTCTCTGGGTGATCTTCAGAGGGAGTCTTGTGTATAGTGCATTGTAGTAGTCTAAACAGGTGGTGATGAAAGCACAAGATACTGCAGCGCTTGCAGGGCAGAGACAGATACTCCGACAGTGAAGATTTCAGTTGGCAAACCTAGCCAGTTGCCCCACCTGTCCACCGCCATCCCGTGTGCACTGTTTCAAGGAGAAGAGGTAGCTACCTGGAGTGGGGCTGGAGAAGACAGCTAAAGGTGATTTAAGGTCACAGACCTAGTAAGTGAAACTTGGGATTGGGGTTGCAGCTGAAAAAGTGAAACTTACTTCCAAGAACGCATTGAATAGAAAAGGCAGGATCTAAGGGACTGCCAATTTTGGCCTGACCAGCAAAATGAGTTAGTCCTTCTCACCCAAAGCAGAACTCCCCGTAGTGCTTACTGGGTGAGCAAACAAGAAAAAGGCAGAGACAGAAGAAAGAGGAAGAGCCAAGGACTGGGAGAGGCTGCTGGCTGAGAAGATGGCATTATGGTCATGGGAGGAGAGAGAGCAGAGCTTCTCAATTCCTACTTTGGTTTGGTCATTTCCCAAAGGGGACTGGGTTCCAATGGACCTAAGCAGAACAATTGACACAAGGAGGGAATGGCAAACCGAGGTAAAGAGATGATAACAGAGCACATGAACAAATATAAGTCTCCAGGACCAGACCAATTCTTTTGGAGAATCTTGAATGAGCTTATAGAAGTCAGCTTCCTTTCTGTGCTCTTTAAGAAATCTTGGTGACGTAATGCCAGAGGACTGGAGAATGGCAAATGTTCCTCTCTTCAAAAAGGGGAAGAAAGAGGTTGATACCAGGCAAAGCTACAGAAGAGAATATCAAACAGTCAGTTTGCAAGCATTTAGAAATGAATCCCATTGCTTGGCAATGTCAACTCAACCTGATCTCTCCCTCTCTCTCTCTTTTCGGCAAAGAGACTACTTTAGTTGATCATGGGAATTTAGTAGATATAGTATACCTTGGCTTTCACAAAATATCTAATAAAGTCACCTGTGAAATTTTAGTAGGAAGAAGACGGCAAAATGCGGGCTGGATTTTGCTATTAAATGAATACAGATGGACACAGATGAATACAAAACTGGTTTAACAATTGTATCTGGCAAGTATATAACAATGGCATCACATCAAGTTGGGAGGAGGCATCAAGTGGTATACCCTGCAGGGCTCCTTTCTAGGCCCTATCCTAGTCAACATATTTATAAATGGCTTGGATGAGGGGTTAGAAATATGATTATCAAACTGGTGGGCAATACAAAGATAGTAGGGATAACAAACTCTGTAGAGGATGGAATCAAGATTCAGGAGGATCTTGAGAAGCAGGAATAATAAGCATTAACCAGCAAGATGAACCTCAACAGGAAGAAACACCAAGTCCTTCATACTGGTAGGAAAAATCAAGAGCATGATTGTAGGATGGGAGAAAACTACTTCACAGCAGCATATGCGAAAAGGATCTGGGTGTCTTGGTGAATCACAAACTGAGCATGAGGTAACGATATCTTGCAGCTGCAAAAAAGAGCTATCTGAGGGGCTGTCATGTAGAAGAAAGCCACTGTTCACAACTCATCTAGAGGACAGGAGAAGAAACAATGAGTTTATATTACAAGGAAGCAGGTTTTGGTTGGATATCAGGAAAAAAATTCTAACAGAACTGTTTGACAGCAGAACAGATTGTCTTGGCAGGTGTTTAAAAAGAGGATGGATGGCCTTCTCTTGAGGACATTATAGATTCCTGCACTGCTCAGGGGATTGGATTAGATGGTTTTCAAGGTCCTTTCTAGCCCTTACGCTGCCTATTTGCATGATACTAACAGCTAATTCAATTGGTGAAGATTCCAATTGAGGTTGGATTTTTAGGGAACTAAAATGGTATAATCCACGCACAAGATTGAGGTATCAAAAAATTGAGGGAAAAGGACTCCAGTTTCTGCAGAAATGAAAACCATGTGAATAAAAAATAGATCAATGACAGCTGAGTGTGCCAAGCTGGCCAAGGAGGCTAACTGACTATTGTGGGAAGAGATCCAATAAATCAAGAGGAGAAATGGAATGGAACATACAGAAAAGGATCTGGATGGCTGACTAACATCCTGAATGAGAACGTTCCACACTATAACACTTTGCCACAGGACCCACTTGTGAGTTGTAACTGTTATTTTAAAAGTTCTCTCAGAAATAGGCCACTTTCTTGTTTAGCCCAAGGTTGAAGAGGATGTGGCAACTGCTGCAATGATGTCATCAGAGTAATTTTGCACTGCATGGAGAAGAGGGGAAGTTAAGGGATGAAATGGGTATCTTAAACCTCCTAGAAGCTTAAGACAACTAGGTTGGAGGAGGGACCTTACAGTCAGAAATCCTGCTGCCAAATTTGTCAGTGTGAAATTAGAAGAGGGCTCAGAAATGGGGCTGGGGAGCCACATGATTCCCCAGCCTCATTTCTGAGCAATTCTTGAGTCCCCATTTCTGAGCATTTCCTCCAATTTCTCCCTGGCTTCCGAAGATCCAAGCCAGCAGCGTCCTAACTGGAGCATCTCATCATCCAGACTTTCAACCCTAGCCACTGTCAGAAGCCATCTCGTTCCAAAGATGGAAACCTAAACATGTGATATCACTCACAGGATTTCCACTGTTATCATCCATGATAGCTCAAACTGGTATCAAAATTGAACTGTCTCTTTCATGACTCACTTCTGAGCTTCCTGGAGGTACCTGGCTATCCATTGTCAGGAACAGAGAGCTGAGATAGATGACCTCTTAAGCCAATTTCTGCTGGCTCCTGCAAACACAAACAGCTTGAGCCTTAAATCTTCTGTGGGAATCAGAGCCACAAGTTTGCCAGACGAGCAGAATTTGTTGAGTATCTGTGCTTTCCCTACTTCTCTAAATGGGGATAACGATTAGGGGATGCCGAAGCCTTACCTTCTTGCAATCATTAGGAGGTATGGAATCTTCTTCAGAGTCTTCAGCTGAGAAGGAAGCACAAGGGGAGGAGCAAGCAGCCTTGTCTCCGTCTGCAACAAAATTAGCTTGGAGGAGAGAAGAGACCAAGAGGACTATCACTCTTTCCACTTTTAGTTGAGAAAATTGGTTTTGTCAGTAATAAAGCAGAGAACAAGCAGAACTTAAGAGTGCACTTAACAACCGTCATAAAGCAGATAAAGTCACTATAGAGTCAAACTGGATAATTATTTTTTCTATAAATGAAAGTTACATATGTTGATTCTCTTTAGGTAGATATTATCTCTCTGTTTATTATCTTGTTTTATTCTGTTTTTAACTTGGCGTTTATTCTGAGACTTTTACCTTTGATTCTGTAACAGTTCTATAGCTATTGTAAGCAGCTACAGTATTTTCTGGAACAAGAACCAATATAGAAATAATATTTAATAAATACATTATAAAAAAAAGTGAATGAAGCAGTAGAAATCCAAAAGCATTCACAGTTTTACTTAGGTAACAAAAGCATGCAACCCCCTTTTAAGGCTTCCTCCAGCCCAAAGTTGCGAAAGGTTTTGGACTACAATTCCCATCAATCCCAATTGGCACGTTGGCTGGATATCACTCAAGATATGGTCCAACACCCATTCAGGGAAGGTAAGAAAACTGGGCCCAGCTGTATTATTTATAAATAAATACATAAAATTATCTTGTCAGTGCAGATTCTGTAGCTGTTCTGCATCTGTGTTACTTTTTTTCTATTATGTCTCAGCCATTAAATTTGTAGGAGCATCTGATTTGAAACTTGGATATTTCAGGTATTTTCTCTCAAAATACCTATTTATAAGCACATTTTTGACCAAAGGCCTATCTAATCCAATGAATTGCCCCCTTTACAGCAGCTGGTCAAACTCCATCCAAGGAAACCCTCAAGCAAAGTGTGTGAGTGTTCACCCACTCATTCTAGTGCTCCACAGTACTAATATTCCAAATATTTTGCCTCCAAGGAAGTCTAATAGCCACTGATAGATACTGGCCAAATTCAGCCCACTGAGTTTTGCTGTGTTCCTCCAACCCTAAAAGTGTGGGGAACCTTTGTGGGTGTGTAGCTTCACCCACACCCACTGGTTGAGTTCAATCTTTGGCCAGCAAAGATTCAAGGATGCAGCTCTTTAAGACACTTCTATTGCAAATACTAGAAAAACCATAAATTAGAGCTTCAAGCTATCCATCCATCTATCCATCCACGTATGTCTCAAGGTTGAAGTTCTATGTCTCTTTTCCCCATGTATGTGCTTGAAGGAGCTGAGAGCTGACCTTCTCTGTGCATTGTTACTGTAATGGGCCTGTCCAGTCTCAAGTTCACTGCACCTGACCTTGTTTCTTCTAGCCCTCAGAGTGGGTATCAAATGAAGTTTAATGGGAAAAATACAGACATGTCCTCCCACTCTCATAGAAATCATCGGTGGAAGGAACCATTTTAGACTTCAAGTCTGATCTCTGCTCAGTGCAGGAAGCATCACTGACAGATGGATATTCAACCATTGCTTGAAACCATCCAGCAAAGGCAAGGCATAACTCTCCTTACTTAATGCTCTACTGCTGAACTGATATTATGAGTAGGAAATGCTTCCTAATCTTCAACTGGAATTGATAATCTTCTAAGTTAAGACTGTTATTCTGAGGCCTTCACTCTGGGATGAGAGAAAACAGACAATTAAGTCTTCTATCGGATCCCCCATCATACATTTGAAGAGTGCTCTCCTATCCCTCAAGTCTTATTTCTCAAAGGTAAACACTGCCATTTCTTCAGTCTCTCTTCTCAGAACTTAGTTTCTATTCCCTTGATTTTTCTTATGGCTTACTGGACTGTTTCCTAAAACATGGGGCCCAGAATTGAACTCAATACCTAAGATGGGATCTGCAGATGGTTTATAGAATCACCGAAATCAAGAAGTTGGAAGGAACTGTTAGTCAAATCCAAGCTCCTTGCAGGAGGCCATATTAAAGCAACCTTGAATGATGGCTATCCAGCTTCAGTTGGTCACATCCCATGAAAGGGAGCACACCTTGGGTCATTGGTTCAACTGTTAAACTACTATTATTGCTAGGAAGTTGTTCCTATTACAGGTAGTCCTTGACTTATAACCACAATTGGGACTAGAAAATTAATTGTTAAGTGGTGTTAAGGCATCACGTGACCACACCCAATTTTATGACCTTTTTGCTGCAGTCATTAAGCGAGACATCATGTGACTGCAACTTGCAACCTTCCTTGCTGGCTTCCCCATAGACTTTGCTTGTCAGGATCCAGCTGGGAAGATCACAGATGGCAATCACATGACCGCAGGATGCTGCAACTGTCATAAATGTGCAATGGTTGCCAAGTGCCTGAATCACAATCACATGACTGTGGGGATGCTGTGATGGTCATAAGTGCGAGGACCGGTTGTAAGTCACTTTTTTCAGTGCCATAACTTCGAATGGTCGCTAAATGAATGGTCATAACTGTGGAGTCCTTGGGGTTCTCTGAGCTTGGTTGTTTTCTTGCAAACATTTCATTACC